ATCCCTCTTCAAGGATATTCTCTCCCTGTAGAGAAAGGAGAAAAGTCATCCTCCCCCCCCGTCCCACTGCATGGCCTTCCAGATGTGGGGGGACTGCACTCCCGCCCCATCATGCTCAGCTGGGGTCACGGTGTTGGAAAGAGGGCTGGAGACCTGGATAAGGGAAATAGGGGGAGAGGTGGGTATTGGGAGCCAATGCTGCCTCTAAGGATCGGGGGGCGGGGGGGAGATCTTCCTGGCCTGAGGGGGGGGAGACAGGGGGTGGCATAAATTGGGAGGGGGTAGAATGGATCCAAATGGTGGCCGTCTTTGAAACCCCCAGGTGGCCACTGCTGGCCGTGGGATGCTGGAGTATCTAAACCTTTGGTAGGGCTACCTTATATAGACTGTAACATCAAGATGAGTGTTGTTCAACGTTGGTCACTTGAAGATGGGTGGACTTCAACGCCCAGAATTCCCCAGCCTGGCTGGGGAATTCTGGGCGTTGAAGTCCACCCATCTTCAAGTGGCCAACGTTGAACAACACTGCTCTAGGTGGTCATTAGAGGGCAACAAAGAGATGTGGAAGTTCTTATTAGATGCCAACTGGAGGTGATCTGGATCTTTGCAACCCAGGCAGGGCAACCCAACTTTTGGTCTAACCCAGCCGGGTTCTTCTGTTTCAGTCTTCAGCCCAATCTCTTTGGGGGGCTCCGAGAGCCACGTTGGCCTTCTATGAGCCTACTTACAGAGGCCACCCAGGAACAGGAGAAGCGTTCCCTTTGATTTCGTTTGACATGTGATCAGATCCTGTTGATGTGATGGGCTCCTGGATTTAATGATGCTTTCCTTTTGGTATACTCAAAATTACAGTTCCAAGGTGTTTGGAGGAGGGCCTCTGAGGGTGCAGCCTGGGGCGTCCGCAAGGTAGGGTCAAAGAAGTCAAGATGGCGGCTGCAATGGTGCAATCAAGGCTTTGGACCATACCCTGTGGACGCCCCAGCCAAGGATTTCAGGGAACATAAGACATTCTGTCCCTACTGATGGCTCTCTCTTATCTTAGACAACTGAAGAGGATAAACTTTGTTGGCTTATAAAGTGAAAATCCTAAATAATATTCTAGGATGCCCATTTCAATCTCTTTTGGAGGCACTGAGGGTGGGAGGACAGGTCAACCAGTGTCCATCCAACACCACATTCCAGATGTTCAGTTTATTCCCCCATATTAAGCATGTTGGCTAAATGGGGCCTCCAAGTTCAGGCTGGGCAGCGAAACACCACTGGCCTGTCTAGTTTAGCCCAGGGTGAGAATGACCTTGTTCAACTGCCCTGCAAACACAAAGGGGAGAGAGAAGACAGGGCAGAGCCCACCCCATCCATCTAAACCCCCAGCTATGCTGAGACTACAGTCCCCAGAATCCCCAGCCATTAAAGCAGGAGGAGATTGAGGAACCCTTACCCCAGAGGGGGCCAAGAATTTCTTGGAGACTGTCCCCTTGTCCCAGGTATGTGGAACCTCCCCCTTCAGGAGTAGTTTATCTTTGACACTTCCATATTGGGGACAGGTGGAAAGGGGTGGCTGATGTCTTCGGGCCGTCTAGCGACCACTTGGCCATGACCAACAGCCGGTCTGGATGGCCGGGCCCTGTTCTGAGAGGCGGCAGGGAGGAAACGCGCTGTTACCCAGTGCAGAGACGATAATGTAACTTCTGCCTTGCTTCCTGTGTTGCGATCACAGGAAAACGCTTTGCAAGTTTGCTCTGCAGATTTTCCAACGGGATTGGATCCCATCTCCGCTCAGAAGGCCAGATCAGCAGAGACAGATGTCCTAGGAATATGTCAACTTCTGCTGAATTCGCCAGATAAAAATAGCATCCTCCCCGACATTTCAGAAATGAAAGTCTGCACGCCACCCGGGACAAATCGCTGGGAGCTTTTTCGTTTCCTGCATTCGCTTATGATACAACAACCGGTCCCTGCTCCTGGGAGGGACCAGAACCCCAAGACGGTTGGTTGATGGTGGCTTAGGGGCCATGTAGTCCAGCCCCCTGCTCAGGGCAGGATTTCTGTGGGTAACCAGACCTCAGGGTACATGCAGGAGGAGTGAGGCCCTCCCCAGCTGGGAGCTGATAGAAAAGGTGGCAAGATTCCCCTTTTATCCACTTTATTTATTCATCATATTTATATAGCCCCATCTCACAAGATGCGACTCTGGGTGGCTCACAGTAAGTTTTTTTAAAAAACAGTAATTAAAAAAAAAAATTACAATTAAAAAAAGGCAAGGAGAGGGGGACAGATATTAATACTTTCAGATTGTTGACAAAAAGATTCCTGGGGGAAGAGGAGGAGAGCATCGGTAAGACTGGTGTGTGTGTGTGTGTGTGTGTACATGCACGCACGCACAAGAAAGCCTTTCCATTGACAACAAAAGGGAAGGAGACTGCCATTATTTTCTTCTGGGGTGTTTCTTGAGTTCCCAGTATAGACCACGGTTGTTGATTTCCTAGTGGTCTCCAATCCAGGCACTACTCAGTAAGACTGTAACAAAAGCACCCAGGGGTGCACACCTAGCCCTTGTTCTGCAGCACAGCCATTACTGCAGCGTTTCTCAACCTTGGGAACCTGAAGGTGTCTGGACTTCAACTCCCAGAATTCCCAGCCAGCCTGCTGTTTTCTGCCTGATTGTTGGTCTGGTGTCAGTCCCTGCTTATCTGGGTGTAGGCTGCTGGAGAGGATCTGTTCTGGTC